CTTCTTAGTTAAATTTTAAAACGGTTCAGAAGTGAATTCTTTGGACATTGAAACGAGAGGTTTAAGAATTGAACCCGCTTGGGTAGGTGCCACCGCTCTACGTGTAAAGCACCAATGCCACTGCTGCGCCCGTCACCCTGAGACATGAGTTGACAAGTCCCATGTGTTTATAATTTCATCAGCACCGACACATAGTCGTGGAGTTTAAACTGTCGTCGCAACACGATTAACTGCAGTTCACGACTTCTTGACCTTACGACGACAGACTGTTGTGACAATGAGAACAGCTAGAATGACGGTCGTCCGATGACAAATAAAACGTCGCTATAAAAATGTGACGTCAGATAATCGCAGCTACAATTGTCGTTACGTTTTATTTACCGTTGTCTCGTATCTAATAAATTCTAAAAAATTATAAGGTTGTGATGTGCCCTTGTTAGCTACTGTGCCCGAACTGAATAGTACCGACACTCGCCCCTTCTCCGTGCGACTGCACTCCGTACTCGCAGCATCACCGCAGTGTGATCTGTTTGTAACTGGGATAGCGAGACTGATGATTGAATGGAAGAGAGTGCTAGAGAGGAAACAGGGTGGTTTTTTGTGATATTAATAATTTAAGTTTAGATTAGTAACGATGTGTTTTGTTTTAAATTGTTATTAGTTGTAGGGGTAGGTGTAGGGTTGATTGTTTTTTATTCTGTTCTTGTGTTCTGAATTGATGTAACGCCATGGTAAATACCGTTATGTTACACTTTTTTGTTATTGAATAAATAAATAAAAAAATCTACAAATGACAAGGCGGCTGTCTTGAAACGATAAATTGTCGTCACGTTCCAGTGGGACGTTGGTACGGCTAGACATGACTGTAAAAAAAAGTTACGACAGACAGTCGTGATAAGGGAACAAGCTAGAGGCGAGTCGTCCAACGAGAAATAAAACGTTACGACATAATGAGATCGCGCCCTACCCCTTCATAACCGGAACGCAGCAATACTGCAGCAGAAATAATAGTAATGATAAGGTAAGGTGGCGGTACTTCCCTGGACGAATTCTTTCAAAGGAACTTTACTGTTACCAAAGTATGTAAAACAAAATGGGGAATGTCCAAATGTAACTAATCAACCTTACACATTCATATATTGTTATCCAATGGCGGCCGTGTCCCGCTACTGAACATAGGTTTTTACGAAGACGGTGTGTATTAAAAAAACGCTATTGTTAAAGGTTAAAAGTTAATTGCTTATCACTTAATATTCGTTATAATTACAACTAGTTAAATGCCAAATTACTATGTGATTGTGTGTACGAAAAGGTGCCAGTTCATTTAAAATTTATTTACGGCGTGTGTTATGATCACAAACACGCGCAATTTCGGAAAATCGGAAACCGCCGCGGTTTTTGTAACTACATGTCGCATCCTAAACAATAAAGTAACTTCATTCGATAAATATTTTTTGTCAAACTGACAAATTTAAAAAAGTTAACGAACGAATTTAAACTAATGACGTAGTTTCTATAACATTCAGATTTTTTTAAATCTTTTTGTTAGACTCTTTTTCATTGAGGGTGCAGTTTGTCTGGTTTCCATAGTAATTTGACACACCAGTTAATGCCATATTACAATACGTTAATAATAATATATTAATTATGTGTTACGGAGTGGAATGCGTTTTGGTCGTACCACCAAGTGAGCTAAAGTTAAATATTTCTGACTTCTATATGAGAAAAGGTTACCTGTTACGAACAGCACCACCTCATTGTATCGTTAAAAAAACTAAAGGTTTTACACTCATTTATACCATTAAATCGTCGGCTCGGCAACGCCTTGACTGAAATATACCAAACTTAACTATAAATAGCTGGTCCGGGCAGGCCGGAGCCGGCCTGCATAGATACTAGTTTAAAATGACAGATGTTATTTGAACCGGCCCCATCTCTCACTGCAGGCAACGCCTGTAGGTAACGGTTCCACTTTTCTTTGTTCCCACACAGTTTCCATCAAGTGAGCCACATGACTGTCTACCAGAGAAAATATTTTAAAAAAGTTACAATAACAGCCCCGCAAACATGAACATGAAAAAAAAGATCCGAGGATCGAAAGATCCGGCTTGCAGTTTCGACTAGGCTGTCGCAGCACGAAGAATCTTGTTATTGTCAAAACGTACCGTACGAAGCAAAAATATATTACTTTTAATGCACTTATACACTTTGTAATATGAATGGTTCGTTACAATACAATACAAATACTCTTTAGTGGTACAGGAACCATTTCCTTTCCTTATAGATGTATAGCAAGCTCTCCTAAGCAACTCAAATATAAACATAATAAATCGGAATGCTATAAATGCTCCATTATCCTTTCGTTCCAAGGCGTTGTGGTGCCGGAACGGTAAAGTAAGCGCTGACCTTTAGAAGACTTTTACCTTTAGAAATCAAGATCTTTTCCCGTCACAATCTACTTGCCATATTCCACATTCAAGTCATCTAATGTTCCTATTACCTTGAACTTCTAGCTTTAAATATAAAACTCTTTCTATTTCAAAGTCTATCGCGAACCACTGTCGGTGGAACATGTCGACCTATAGGCACCTTTTCTCATGTAATGTCACATTTTTTTATTTATATACAATAACTAGTTTTTTGAACTAACTAATTGTAAGTCTATCTCATTACTTGACATTCACGTTCCACAGCTGGGCATCGACCCATTGGGAACTTAATTTTTCTTTGAACTAATTGAAAAAAAAAAAGAAATTAATTATGAAGCATACAATAATTACATTTAATATGTAATAATTATTTACATTTATTTATAATGTTCTTATAATGTTTGTGGTGTCCATAACCGCTTTTCGCGAATTGCAAATTATCGTTAAAAAAAATCCAAGGTCTATGTCAAACAGTGGACTATTAAGCCAACTATCAAAGATTTCTGACAAAACCTTGCAAACTAATTGTAAAAATGGGGTTAGCTATACAGAGTGAAAATAATTATTACTTTCACTATGTATATTTCTTGAATTGTAATTAATAAAAATAAAAAAAGCCCTAAATTAACCGGAAGATAATAATAAATTAATTAATTAATTAATTAAAAAATTAAATAAATACGGACATTTCAAACTGACATCCGAGCATGAGAAACGAAAAGCATATATATGGACACTCTCTGCTAAATAGACAAACATTACAAGGTACAGTCGTCGTACATTCTTGAGATCATAGAAGTGATGACACTCCTCTTCCACCTAAGATATAACACACTTAATTATAACATTAATTTGTGGCAGTGATATTATTATCATTTTCTGATGTTTATTCATGGTTGTTCTATTTTATATCACAATTTTAAAAACTTGCTCTTAACTTCTTCCTCCCCTCACTGACTGTCGTAACAGATTATTATTTTATACGTATTTCCTTTCCTTAAACATTATCTCGGTTTTGAGTTTTTGTCACCCCTTCCACTAACGGCGTCAGGTATAACTTATTACAAGCTTTCCCGCTTAACTGAGTCGGGCAATGAGGTAGCTGCGAAGTGCGGGGGGGAGTAACAGTTTACGTAACAGTTATGTCGCGCTGCACACGGGATATTCAACACCAAGTTGATCGAAAAATGTGCCAAGTAGCTTGTCTATTATTCATTTCATTTATCAATGGCACTATATAACAACAATTGAGTAATTTGGTAGGAGCTTTTTTCAATCAACTTGTTACTGAAAAATCTCGTTGAAATTATCCCGTATGCAACGCGATCTAACTGCTACGTACATTGTCACTTCCCCCCGCACCGTGCAACTACCTCAGGAGCCATCTGAGTTAAGCGGTAGGCCTGTAATAGAACGAGAACAAAATGAGCTACAGCTTATTTGCCGAAGCTAGTTGCGGCAGTTAGCGAGGATAGGAACGAAATGTATTAAAGGTAAGACAGTAACACCCTTTTTGTTTATTTGTAAGGCGAACGTACCGAATGTCATGGCGAAACATTCTAGATAAACAGCCTGATTTGTAACCTAATATTGTAAGACAAATTAGGGCGCGTTCGCATTATGTCGTGACGACAGATAGTCGTGCAGTTTAAAGTGTCGTGGCTTGTATATTTAAATGAAGTTGTTCACATATAGTACAACACGATTAACTGACGTTCACGACTTTTTTAACGTTACGACGACAAACTGTCGTGACAATGGGAAGAGCTAGACCGACAGTCGTCCGACGATAAATAAAATGTCACGATAAAAATGTGACCACAGATAATTGCAGCTTCAAACGATTCTGTGACGACAAGGCGGCTGCCGTGAACCGATAAATTGTCGTCACTATCTAGTGGGAACAGGCTAGAGGCGACAGTCGTCCAACAATAAATAAAACGTTACGACATAATGGGAACGCGCCCTTATTGTCCGTTTGTTTGGCGCGTCAATGCCTGAACGTCGGATTGTCATACTATAAATTTAGTTGTTCGTACAGGCTGAAAACATAATTTAAAAAAAACTTCAAGATTCATCACAATAGGAAATGCAACTATTTTTCCGGATTTAAATCGCGTATATGTGTTTTTTCAAACAAACCAACGTTTCGGGCCCTTTACAGGTCGCATGGTCACGGTTGGCTGAGGTGGTACAGTCTTCAACCAGTTATGTCTAATATTAATGCAAATCACTCTATTTTTTCACTATAGTTGCAAAAGTTATTAATTAAATACTGTATTTTTAATTTTACAAAGACACATTCCAATTCACGCTATATTGTTTTACAAATTATTTTATTGTAATAATATGAATTTTTATTAAGTTTATTAAGTGACTGCACCACCTCAGTCAACCGTAACCACGGGACCTGCAAAGGGCCCGAAACGTCGGTCTGTTTGAATAAACAAATATACCCGATTTAAATCCGGAAAATTAGTTTCATTTCCTATGTGTAACAATCGCGAAAACCTAAGAACTCGATTCATCACAGTATTTTCATGATATCATCATCAACCCATTTACACGTCCAACTGCTGGGCACGGGTCTCAGGATGGGGACTTCGCACGTTATCCGAGGGTCATGAACCTTCTTCGACCTACCACCTTCACTTAAAAGCTCATGATAAATTTCAAATTACTTACAACCTCCTTAACTCATTATACTGTGGTTATAACGTGAAATTCCAAATCCAGAAAACATCAAACACACTACACTCGTTGCCATAAATACCACAGAAGAAACTCGCCCATAATTAATAGTTGCGCAGATCTATATATTTTGATTTTGTACGACGGCCATCTTGGATACGCCACATTGGATATTTTTGATCCAGGTGGAATCTAACTTTGACAACGTTTGTTTGAGTTCTAAACACCGAGCTGTAATACTTTTATGGGTTACGATGACAAGATCGACTCCTTAGAGAAGGTCAAACCGTGAATCTCGCCCGAAGACGATGCATCATTCACCTTGAGAGTGACAAAAACCTTGTCGATGTTTATTACCAAGGTTAGGCCGTTTCGTCCTGCATTTGGACCTGGAGCTTTCTCTAAATTTATGACATTTAAGAAAAGTTTTGAAAATTTAAAGGATTTGACAGTTGAAGCTCCACCTGTAAGCTCAGTTATTGGTTGAATGCTGACGAATAATCATGCGGTCGTTCACCTTACAAGATTGTTGAAAAGGACGTATGTAATGGTCCATTATCTGGGCAAGCGTGTGTCGGCGTTATACCCCGGCGGAGCGGTGTGTCCTCACGCATAGTTGCTTGGGCTGTGGCCGCGACTGCCACCGCCGCCGCCCCCGTACGCCTCCGGCCTGCAAGACACAGGGTCTCTTAAGAAGATCCAAGGCCAGTTGCCGCTGGACCTTGGAAAGCGGCTCTAGTGTCGACTTTTTACATCATTGCACTTGTTTTCAATACAAAAAAACAATAATTTTAAGTTAAGGAGCTTCCGCCACGTTGCATCTAAATGAACTTCTTTCCTACATTGCGCCAAATCCTCAGAAAGGCAGTACTTTTGATGTCAGTTAATACCTGGGCCAACCTTGCAAGATCGAGAAAGGTACCTGAAGATTTTTGCTCACCGCCCACTTAGGCAAGGTAAAAAATTGCAACGTGCACCGCCACAAAAAATAATTGAAGAGGCGTATTTTTTATATTAACATAAAATATCACAAGGAAAAAAATGTATACAATGTCTTGATTTGCATTCTCGCCATACTTACAGAGGTTATTGTATATCCAAAACTGAACCCAAATGACGAAAAAAAAATCTCAAAAGAAATTTCCAAACTTGTGTAGTCAGAAAGTTGAAAGTCTGGATAACGTGCGAATTTAAGCAAAGCCAGTCACAGTGGTGGGTGGTGAACACTTCTGGCAATTCCTTCGGGTAGGTACCTAACCTAAAATTGGTAAGTACCAAATTTAAATTACAAAAAGCAAACATTTTAAGTTAACTTCCCTAATTTTGTGTAAATAATTAATAAATTATAACAATGCGTAATCATAATAACAAAAAATAGGTAATTAAGCGAACGAGAAAGATTACGTATCGTTCGGTGAAATGCCGAATGGCCGAACGCTCGCTCGGGCTTGCTCGGGCCCCGTCGGAGTCTCTGCTCGGGCGCGGTGCATACGGTCGAAAGCCTTAGTGTCTATAGTACCATTGATTTGTACCATCAATGGTACAAATGATACTACTATGTGTCCTTAGTACCATTGAAAATTATACTTGTTTATACCGTGTATTTACTTGTGAAAATAAAACTCACATTTTCTAACGACGCAAAAAGCCAATTTTGCAAAACTTTACTAGATACAATTAGCCAGATATCGAACTGAATATTTTTTTTAGGTTTTTACATGATTTAGTATTATTTGTATTATTAATTTCTTAAATATAGCGAGAATGCAAATCAACACACTGTATGCAGTTTATATAGATAATAATTCAACTTTTTCTCTACCTCTACGGCCCTAGGATTCTTCAACGCCCGCTATAGGGCGATAGGGACCTCTTTGGGAAACTATGGTCCAGAAGGAGCTTCGAACAGAGAGTACAGGCGTACCTGAAGTCGTGGTGCCTGTAGACGGGGTAGTCCCGCCGCTGGCGCCGGGGGCTGGCGCCGGGGCTGGGGCTGGGGCTGCGGCTGTGGCTGTGGCTGCCGGGCCGGCCCTCCGCGCTGCTCACGCGGCGAGCTGCTCGACACGACACGGTAATGGTAGAAGGGTTCAAGGGAAACTCATACGTCTAAGCAGTAGTTTCTTGAGAGTTCAGCGGGTCGAATCCTACCTTCATTTCTACGTACGTTTACCACTGTTTAGCCATACCTCTCATCTAACGGTGAAGGGAAACATTGTGATGAAAACTGCCAGCGTGGCGAACTGTGGCAACAGCGGGACTTACAATATAATATACTTATTACGGTCGGTGTTGGTGACCATGACTTTTTATTTTGTTCCTTATTCTGAACAGAATAGTGACTATTGCTGGATCACCACATTCCCAAATTAATTTAAGGGCCGATGTGTTTCCTAATATAATTTATTAGAAAATTAAATTGTATATTTTACATAATAACTGAAAATGGATAAATACAGATAAGTTTGGTATCGGTTTTTCTCGTCACTAGTCGTGACGTCAGACCGCACGTTTTTAATTTAAATAGGAAAGCAAATATGTATTTATAAAAAATAGATGTGTATCATGTAGATTCTATTTCAGTCATAAAAACTACAATAGAGTAGGTACGTGCTACAGACCTGCGAGGTGGTGGTTGTGCAGATGCGGGGCGTGGTCGGGCGCGTGGCGGGCCGCCCCCGCCGAGCCCCCCGCGCCCCCCGCCGCGCCCGACAGGTGCGCGCTGGACGACGCCGACAGGCTGGACGGGCTGGGCGTCGCGCGCCGGAGCACGCCTAAGGACAGAGCGGTCAAGGGCGGTTCTACTGCGGCTCGGGGTTATTGAACACACCGGTGCTTGGGAAGAAAGGGCGTAGAAGCCGCTCTTTAGCCGACTTCAAAAAAGGAGGTGGTTCTCAATTCAACTGTACGTTTATTTCTTTTTTGTATGTATGTTACGCGATAACATCGGCATTTGTGAACCGATTTTGTAGTTTCTTTTGTTGTTGGAAAAGGGTACCTCAGTCTTGGTCGCGTTTAAATTTAAAGAAAATATTCCACCTATAAGGGTGGCTAACTAGGGGATGAATCCGGTTTCACGCACTTTCCGGTAACTGATTTTTGATAAAACTTGGCAAATAGATGTAATTCCACAAACTTTTGAGGTCGGTTTTTTATCAAAATATAGTCCGTATTTATAGAGATAAATGTGGACTATATTTTGATAAACGTGGCCAAAATAACAGTAGCAGTAGAGCTTGTGAAAGAGCTCGTCCAGAGAAATACTGCCACTTTACCTATTTCTATATATGTATTTCGATTTCGAAAGGTGCTGACGAAATTACAGGCACATGGGATTATAAACTTATGTCTCAGGGTGACGAGCGTAGTGACAGAAATCTTTACGATTTAAAGCTCTGAGCGGTACTGCAGCTGTTATGGACAGGCGTGTCGCTTACCACCAGGCGCACGACTTGTCCGTCCCGCCACTTGGCATCTAAACTTAAATTCTTCACTTACTGTTGGCGAAGGGCGTCAGGTCCGACCTGAAGCAATGCGGCAACGTGGCCGTGTGCGCCAGCTGCGGCGCACGGCACCTCCCCACTCCCCCCACCCCCGCGCCCCCCGCGGACGACGACGCCGCAGCCAAGCTCGAGTTAGCCAGGGTTGGGTTCGCGTTGGGTTGGTACGACGAGTAGGCTGGGGGAAAATCAAATTCAAAATTTCGTAACTTTAATGCAAAAATCTTTAAGGCTGCTAACAAACAGACATGTTTGCAGTTAATGAGCAAGTCGTGTTCAACTTCATGCAGCCGAGACCTCGACTGTATTAATACAGAGGGCTCTCCCCGGTAGCTTTTAAAATGTATACAGAAGAGGATGTGTTGTTGGCCAGTACGACCAAAAAAAACTGAGTTCCCTTTAAGAACAAAAAGATCGAAATATCAGGTCTCAGTTGTCATTCGTAAACAACTAAAATTATGCTTCGCTTCATTTACAGTGTTCTAAAGAGAAAATAAAGTGTTTGGAGTGCCTAATTACGCATGAGTACACGAAAAGATAAGCGTATGCAGACATTTATCAATGAGAAGTGAAAAATTTTAGCAAACAAAGGTGGTTCGTAAAGAAGCTCACTAGAAAGTTTATTTTTGAAACACTTTAGTTACATTGTTACTCTTACTGTTAGTGACGATAAGTTATCGGTTCACTGCAGCACCTTGTCGTTTGCACGACAGAACCGCTTGCAGTTGCCATTATCTGTCGTCACGTTATGTCGTAACGACGAAAAAGTCGTGAACTACAATTAATCGTGTTTTAGTGTCTGTGAACAACTTCATTCAATTTAAACTGTCGTGATTTGGTATATTTATAAACAAGTCACAACAGTTTAAACTGCACTACTAACTGTCGTCACTACATAATGGGAACGCGGCCTTATTACGGAGGCGAATAGATTTTGGTTCTCGCACGCCTCGTACAATCATCGATCGACGGCATCGATCAATCGTCTGTCGATTGGTGTGATCACACCCTTATAAAACCGACCTTAACTACGACTAAGCATAGATAGCGAGCTAAGTAAGTTTTTAAGTAAGGTTAACTTTGCCAAGTTTAAGCAAGAAACTACAAAGTATTATCGAAAGTTTAATGTCATGCTTAAACTTGGATTACTACGTATTCTATTAAAATGTGCGACAACATCGCGGTTTTAAAAAATAAACATCGTCTTTCCGGTTCTGTGTTATTATTTAAACCACTAGACACGTACACCCGTCCGTGCACACTAATACAAAAAAAAATAGACGTCCCGACCACTTACCTCTTATGACGGAAAGTTCGATGGCGGCTATGAATTCGTCCTCGTCCGGTCTAGGCCGCGCGCAGTTCATCAGGGCAAGCTGAAAATAAACAATAAATAAATAATAAATTTATTCATAGAACTTAAACGTATAAAAAGTGCATAATAAAAGGTACAGGCAATGTCAGCACGTATTCGACCCCTCCTACGTAAAGTATCGTACGTTGAAATTACCAAGTTTACTGCCTCCGTGGCCGAACGGTTACCATGCCGGACTGCCACGCAGAGGTCCCAGATTCGATTCCCGGGCCGGGAGAAAAATATCTACATTTATTTCTCTCGTCAGTTTGGGTGTAATTTGTGGTTGTCTATGTGTGTGTCCATGGCACCCGCGACACAGGGTTTCCCAAGTGCGGGGCTATGTTGAGTGTGTGCGTTATTATTATTAAGAATAAAGAAAGCAAATAGTAATCATTAGAACGTCGTAACATTCACAATTCAGACATTTTTGGCAAAATTTTACCATCTTTCACAAACTATCGATAAAACTATCGACAAAAACTACAATGACTATTTAAAATTTTAATAAAACTAGCGGTAACCTATAACAAATTCGAATTGGTTTTTTTCCGAAAGAACGTTTGTTCGAATTTTCATTACACCGAAAATCAAATTGTAACGAAACAGTTGTTCTTTCAAGATATGTTAAATGTTTATCGCAAAGACACGATTAGGTTCGGTTAGGTTAGGCTAAGTTAGGTTTAAAAGAAAAAAACGTTTCCCTCTCAAAATTACTTTCGAGTTTATGAAAATTCAAGCAAACGTTATTTCTGGATAATGTCATTTCGAACTACTGATAGGTAACCAAAACTAGCACTGGAACCCACGACCACGCTGCACCGTAGCATCGATCAAACCATCTAAGCCACGGGTCCAGTTACCGAGCCGTCGAAATTCTTTTTTGTGTTTTGATTCAGATCTTTGTGCTGACTTTCGGCATTCCTCGCCACTCGTGACATCCACTTGCCAAGTTTGTGAAAAGTAGGTGAAATCCAATACAACAGAATTCACCGGTTTCATCCCCTAATTTGCCACCCTTAGAGGTGGAATATATTCTTCAAACTTAAATGTGACCACTACTCAAATAAAGCACACAATCTATACATAAAAAGATGGGTGCTTTATTCGAAATGTTAGTAAAACTTTTTCATTGAAAAATAAAACCGACCTCAAAGGGTTGCTAATCGGCTTTTCTCGGTTTCTACGGGATCCTCTCATCAGTTTCCGACTTCTTGGTGACAATAGGACTGTTACAGACTCCGTTGTACATTTTTTGTTTTCTGGTTGTCGTGGTGGCGGTGATTTGTTGATTACACGTATTTTGTCAAGTGAAAAGTCGCCTTCTATTTGCGTAAAATAATTAGTAATTTATGATAGCCGAAACGAACCCAGGACAGCATCAGGGACTATACCTCTAAGTATACCCTTTCAAACACAAGAAGAATTTTCAAAATCGGTCCGCAATTCATGGAGAAACTGGTGAATATACAGACATGCCTGTAAAATTTGAGGATTTCCTTCGATTTTCATGGGATCCCCTTAATAAATATAACTGAAAACATACATACAGCCGACGTGTAACCTCCTTTTTTTGAAGTCGGTTAAAAAATCAAAATAATTGTAGTGTCGTCTTACCTGTTGCGAGTTCCGCTGTTGCAAGGCCCGCTCGGCGTGCTGCTGCGCCGCGCGCTGTGCCCGCGACCCTGGTCAGTGTCACACACGTCTTAGATAAATAGATGGCGCTGCTATCAATTATCTTATGCTATTTAGTATTTGGTCGCAACTATCATATTTGGTTGGTACTGTAGTCTAGGCTCTACTCTATGAGTAAAATCACTGGCTGAATGAATAGTTTTGTAATTAGAATGTGTGTTGATAGATCGAAATATAGCCCAACACTATAAGCATGCAAAAAAGTGCAATAAAGTAAATTTTGAAGATTATTCCAGTTTATATTCATAAAAGTACCTCTCGCTACGCAATCCGAACTACGTCCCAGTTACAGTACCACTACGGACCAATAACCAAGCCTACTAATCGCGGTACAAGACAGAGCAGTCGGGTATTTAGTACCTTTTCGTACACCAGATGTCGCGACGAGTAACAAATAGTCATTTTTGTAACTAATTTGGTTTACATTGACAAGTTGCAATTTATCAAAGCTACTTTAATTTCTAGTGATAACAAACAAATCAACTAGATAGCGCTTCTTTTATTATTTAGGATTAGCGCCATCTACACATAGTAGGAAGCGTTAATTTATAAATTAGTTTGTTATTATTATTATTATGCCCATAGCCATTTACATTATTGACACGCATTGACACGAATATTTGTCAAAGTTTAGAAAGTAATTTTAGCGTACATTTGAATAATATTAGATAAACTAGAATAGAATAGAATTATTTTTCAGATCCATAGTAATGTTAGTAATACAGTAAATGTTTCTTATGTGGTATGAATGACTTAGGGTCGTATTCTAGAACTCCACTCAATGCTCAAGTCAGGATTTGAGTATGGTTTAAAACACTCCAAATCATACTCAAGTCCCTGCCATTAGAGTCGTATTTCCAGTGCTTGTGTTTCCAGTGCAATCCTGACTTGAGCATTGAGTAGAGTTCTAGAATACAACCCTTAGAGCCCTGCATCGAGTATATAACCA